GGCGAAAGTCAAGGATATTAATAAAAATAAGAGTTATTTTAAGATAAATAATTTTTTTGGAGAAAATTTAATAGTAAAAGAGTGAATTTTCCGATGATCATCAACTAATCAATCACAGTACAACAAATTATTACGAATATATCCACCGATCGATAATGATAATACATATTTATTTGTTTCAATTTATGTAGTACCAACATTCTGTGAAAAAATTGCAACAAATAAGAATTCTGTGATGGTTGAAAATGAATTATGTGTTTATTACGGGATTCTGTGAATTCTGTAACATTCACAGAAAATCATGGCCCTGGTGTGATTCACACACATGAAATAACCAAAATTAGAATAAAATGTACTACAAAAATAGACGAATAGGATAATAGATATCCAGTAAACTTCTCAATCGTTAATTCTTCTGAGTCTCTAAATTGAAATGGCTGCTACCACCTTCCATGACCAACGACAAATGATCTTATCTTATTGGAACCGGGGCATACGTTCTGCCAAAAAAATACAACAGCAACAAAAATACCAACGTCAACTATCTATTACAACCTAAAAAAGCTCGGGAAAACTGGAAAAATAACACAGTCAAAAGGGGCGGGTTGTCCGAAGGCAATTTCGCGAGAAATGTCACAAAAAATCAGGCGGCAAATCCAAAAAAATCCTTCTATATCAACAAGAAGTTTGGTGGCAGAATTAGGTGGAACAGTATCTCAACCGACTGTTTTAAGACATTTGTGGGATCACGACTATAAAAATGTTGTCCCAAAAGCTTTGCCAATGCTTACCTTGCAACATAAAGAGAAACGGGTGGCGTGGGCCAAAAAACACATGAACGACAATTGGAACAAAACTTTTTTACAGATGAAACTGCATTCCAACGCTTCCGTAACACAAATGGTCAGTGGCATAAGGGTCCAAGACCGGTTCGTCGAATTCCTCAAGATAGGAGAAAAATCTTTGCGTGGGGTTGGTTTTGTAAAGCAGGTAAAGTTGATTTATTTTGTTTTAGAAGAACAATGAATGCCGAATTTTATGTAGATATTTGAAAAATAATATTGCGGATATTAATGCTCTTCTGAGAAGAAAATGGAGGTTTCAACAGGATAACGATCCAAAATATACGAGCCATCTTGCAAAGTCTTACCTCGAATTGAATGTCCCGAAGTTATTGATTGGCCATCTTGTAGTCCGGACTTAAATCCAATCGAAAACCTATGGAATATAGTCAAAAGAAACGTAGAAAAAAGAAAACCAAAAAATTTTGGACCAATTAGAATCATTTATGAAGGAGGAATGGAATTTAATTCCAAATGATACATTAGAGTGATGAAACGAAGATGTATGCTAGTAATAGAAAGTAAAGGCGATACTATGGATTACTAAATTTTTTTTTAACAAAATATATGTTTTTATCTTTCAAATAAATGTATTTTTATTATAATTGGTTTGGTGATTGCGGAGTAATAATAACGATAAATTTATTTTTCGTATATCAACTATACCATACAAACCGTACCGATACATATAGTGCGTATAGTATGTACAGTATGTGTTCAACTAAAAGTGTATTTGCCCATCACTAAGCATACCCGTATTGCTTAATAGGAGGTCGACCGCTGGAGATAACCAAAAATAACACTCCAATACTAAAAAATATTTTCATTTCTTTTAAATTTTCCGTATCTTAGGAAGGCGGGCTCAATTTAACTTATCACACCTAAACCGGTTTTCGAGTTAGACTGATCATTTGAAAGTTTTAAATAGCCTAAGTCTGAAATTTTGGTTTTTCCTTTATGAACGAGTATATCTTTATGATTCTTTTATACAAACTTTAGAAATTGGTGCTTATAAAATAAAATGTAAAGCTATAATGAAAATATGTAAAAATTTCTTAAATTCCGGCGAATAATGCCTTCATCATGTATACATTTCACTCCTTTGGCGAGTTTTTTTTTGCTAGACTCAATTTGTCATCGTCACTCAATTTTAAATTAATATCGAAATATTCTTCGAGGGTTCTATCGCTAGCATATTTCATAACAAGCATGTATTTTTTGGAGATTGGATCTAAAGGGTATTTTTATTTGTGATATCATTAATGAAATTAACAAGAGAAATTTTAAGAATGATAGTTAATATATTATTTACCTTGAGTATTTCCATAAAAGCGAATAATGTTTTTATGATGAGCAAGTTTAATAAAAGCTTTCAACTATGGAATGAAGCATATTTCATTAGTCTTGAATTTAGATGTTACAATTCTCAAATAGTGATACCTCTTTAATAAATTGTTTATTTATTTCTTCGCTATATATTTTAAGGCAACAGTTAAATCTCCACCTTTCAATTTGGCTTTATATATTTCACCAAACGCTCCATTTCCGATTATTTTTTTTATCAAAAAATTAAAAAATTTTATTTGTCTTTCTGCTTTGGCATCTTTCAACCAGTTGATTTAATTGCTGATGCCATTTTTTATGCTTGGTTAAATATGCATTCAGACATGTGCATGTATGTGTGACATGCAACTTTTATATATTAATATATATCCGGACAAGATCGGTAACCAGAAAATTTTAAACATCCAATTTATTATACATGTATAACAAATTATACCCTTAATTTTTGTTAAATCTTTGTTTGAAAATTATTCAATATGTAAAAACCTTGCATGAAAGTCAAAAACTACGTGTCAATATAAACTGGAAAAGATACATAAACATGATTCAAGCAAAAAAAATATTTACAAAACTTAAGATTGATGATGTCAAATAGTGATAATCTATCCTCTCTTTTATATAAATATTTTCTTTTCCTCATCGTAACATTTCGATATTCTATACGTCATTGATTATTGTAATTAATAATCATCGCTGAAACTGCTTTTTCGAATTTTTCGTTTACGATATGGACTCAAACCAAATGATGTGGGTGTACCAACGATTGGCAAAATCCATGGAACTTCGTCATTTTGACTAGTAACACTATCGAAAGTAGACATTGAAGATTCTCTATTACTTATTTTATCATCGTCAGATTCATTATGATGTGTCGTATATTCCTTAATTTCCGTGCCTTTGATTGGTTGATTTCCAATGTAAGATTTTGGTTTAGATGTTGTCAAGACGGAAGAATTTGATGATGATGATGATGCAATAGAAGGATCGAATGAAAAGTTCGGTGAATTTGATTCAATTTTTTTTTGGGATGCCATTAACAAAAAATTTGACGAGTCGCTCGATGGCTTTAAAGGTGTAGAAATTAATTTGGAGGATTCAGGTGAGGACATATGTGTTCTTCCATTCCCGTATTTCTGTTGCTGCGCATGGAACTCAGCTTGAAAGCTCTAAACGTTAAAGAAAATAAGGAGGTAAAAATGAGTTGACATTTTTAAGAATACCTGAATTGATGAATATTATACCTCTTTCTCTTTTGCGGGTAAATTTTTCCACATTTCAGCTATTTTCCCGTTAATGTCTGTCATTTGAAGGTTTGGAAACTCAGCTTTGACGTCTGCAAATCGTTGAGATACAAAATACAAATAAGAATTTTTTGGCACTTTCTTGCTCTTAAGTTCAGGTAATGACTCGAGTTTTTCTGGATCTGATTTCTCGACGGTCTGTTTTACTGTCTTTACATCGCTAAATTTTGGCTTTTTTGATTTCTTATAAAGATTATCTACTCGGATTCTTTTTTGATTCATATCATAATTTGAAGGTGAAAAGAATTTCATCTCATCAAAGCTTGTAATCTTTCCTTTATTTTTTTCGTTTACTCGATTCTTTGATTTGGATGGAGTTGAAAAGGTTTCATCATTTTCGTCAACAATCTCATCAAAATCACTACTTTCGGATTCTGATACTTCTGAAGAAGATGAGGTGGATGATGAGGATGAGGATTCTTCGCTTGAGTCAGATGATTCTTCTGATACGTAATGATCATTACGGATTGGAATACGTTTTTTAAATATGGGATTTCCATTAGACATCATAGTTTGTAATGTGAGTATTTCTTTATTTGCTTTTTTCCAATCGGTGGCTGCTTGTTCGAAAACATCTGCAGCCTTATATTATTAGCGTAAAGAGATGTCTTTATAATTCTTCGCAAATACTGAAAACGAATAATGATTTTGGTTGAAATTAACTTACAGCTTCAGTTTGTGCCTTCATTTTTGATAGGTTCTCACGATCAAGGTCACCATTATTAACCGAAGCCGACTTTGAAATCACGGAAATTCGTTTTTCTGAACCGTAGTTACTGCTTAATTTTTGGGTAATTTTTGTTTTAGCCATCGATTTCTAAATTTGGTGGTTTTTTTATTCAATAATCTTTCTCTAAATATTAAGTTCAAAATGCTGAACAAACGGTAACTCAAAAAATGATTGTTGTATTGTATCGGATAATGAAGATTCTAAAAACGACATTTTGACAGATATATGCATGAATAAAATACGTTTTTCTTTTTATGTTTCAAATAAAAGTTGCTCACCTCTGTTAGATACCGAATTAATTCCCAGAATTTAAGAAATGAATAAGATAAACTTTTAGTGAAAACACTACAATACCTCCTGACAAAGCAAGGCACGCTGACAAGATACAAAAGATGCATTTGGAAATTTGTAAAGCACGATAGTGCTACCTTGAAAGCTTTTTTTCTGCTGAAAGTTTTTTTTTTAAGTCATCGTTTCTTTTGCTCCCAAAGAAGATATCAATACGCTATCACAACTATCTATACTAAAATTTTTTTTTAGCCTGTCTCAGTGTGAAGAACTAGATATCGCAAAGAAGCTCTTTTCCCAATTGTTGGAGAGAAAAATTTAACGTTAATAGATTCCTTTGCGGGTTAAAATGAAAAATCCATATACACGTATAATTGGTCAATTCATTCAGAAGCATTGTGCATGTACAATCAAGCCATTGATTGCGTCTGCTTAATATTGTATGTCTAATGACATAAACAGAAAATTCTATTTTTGGAGCACAGTCTTTTCTATAACGATATTTCTTAATAGAAACGAAAAAAATGATATCGATATGTGTATGCATGTACAGTATTTATCGGGCACGAGACTTTATTCATTTAAAGAATAGAACTTTCTGAAATGCACTACAGCCGATTATTAACATCCCACAACGAAATATGCAACAATAAGGAGGGGCGAAAGGGATACATGTATAGTTTAGTGCATGATATTGATTTTTCTGGTTTGAAACACATGGAAATACCCATAAATAAATGTTTCTATGAAAATGACATATAAATGTACCGGTACATCTATCGGTATTGTTATATCGATATATATAGATGTACATCGTTATCGTCACGCACAAGATTAAAGAAAGTAGCTCGGTGGTTGAAAAAAAAACTTGTGAGAAGGCCATACAGTCGAGAATGAGGAACAAATTGTTGCTCGATTAGATTTTTCTCTAATATAAAAAGTTCGTATGCAGAATGCAAATATCACTAACAAGGTAGAATTTAAGAATGATGATGATACTATAAGATTTATTTTTTGTTTCTACATCATCATGCGAGAGATGATGACACAAACAAAGATTTTGAAAATGCTGATGTCTCGGAGGAGTTCAATAATTTTGTCATAAGAACGATAAAATACGTATGAATTTTAAAAACTTGTCTTTAGGTAAGAGATAAGACGTTTAAAGAAAGGAATAATTCCAAAGTAAACTTCTAATAATGGGTAAAATGATTTATGATAGCGAATCAATGGGAAGTTTAAGAAATTCATGTTATATGGCGTAATCTTAATTACGATAAACATTCCCTTATCAACAATAATTTTATAGAATGGAACTTTTTAATGGTTTATTTACCTGGCAAATGATAATTGTATTAGTAGTATATTTGACACATTTACTAACAATAGCTCTTTTTCATTTTTCAATGTAACTATAAAGTTACTTGGCACCGTATACTCTTAGCATATCTTTGCCCTGAAATTACAATTGTGATTATATATTCTATGCACATGTATATACTAATGATCAAAGGTTTGAACAATGATATAATAAGAACTCTAACGGTAACTGATTTGACAAAAATATTTCTTTCCTAATGTAATTTTTTTTTCAAAGTGAGTTCGGTAAATAGCGATATCATTGACGTTGATAAAATAGGTTTATTTTATAAAAATACATGTACATATTATTGGTTAGTTTTGTTCACACACGATAATGTGACATATAGGGATAATGATAAACAATGAATAACGTGATGTGAATGAACTTTATTGACCTATTTTTATTTTTCTCAGGTAAATTGCACTATACAGGATCGTTCATCTCGTAACACAGTTACCGTTACTTTTTTAACTTTAATTAAAAATCATCAAATTTGCAAATCTGACATTGTACATGTATTATAAATTTTGTTTTGTACTACATGTATACCATTACTATTACTATTACTATTTTCTGAATACATGTATAGCGGTTACACATAAACAGAAATTGTAAATTATCACATCGATATCGCTATAAAAAGTGTGTGTTGAGATCAAAGTTTTTTTCTTTTATTGCATTGCGTGTTACGTTTCTTCTTCTCCACTTGTCACCTTGTAAAAATACGTACTAACGAAATATTAAGAAAAATAATTCTTTCTAAATTTGATTAAAGAACATAAGAAAAAAAAAAATGTCAGGAAAAACGACGACGACAACAATAATGTCAAAAGCGGGAGCAAGCCTACTGCCAACTTATTATCAAAATGCAACAACAAAAAATCATAATCAACAAAAAAAAGAACATTATCTATTATTAAAACAACAAGAAGAGGAGCAACGAATAATAGTGATATTTGATGATGCAACATGGAAAACCAAAAAGTATAAGATACTTTTAGCAACCCTCGCGATTTTCTTAGGTTCTCTATGGTTTGTTTCTCATTTCAGTGGAGCAGGATTTGATATTCATTCATTAAAACAATATCAAGACAATGCCGCTGCAATGGCTGCCGCTAGTGTTATGGGTGACGGAGTAGAAGAAGGAATTCATGGGTTAGAAGTCCAATCTCATGGTTTCTCTGGTCCATTAGGCCATAATCACGGCGTACACGACGAACATGATGACGAGGAAGATGACGAGGACGAGGATGAAGATGAATACGAAGATGATGAGTATGAATATGAGGATGAGGATGAAGTTTATCCAGAAACTGAATTAGAGCAAGAAATTGATGATATCATTCATGAGAATCCAGTTGTAATCTTCAGTAAAACGTATTGTCCGTAAGTATCAATACTTTGGTATTGTCAACCTCCCTCCAAGATAACTATCAATTCATTTAACCAAATTCGTATTGCAGATATTCCCGTCGTGCAAAACATATTCTTGCGCAATACGGCATTGACCCACACCCATATATTGTAGAAGTGAATACAAGAAGTAAGTAATCACTAAATATATGTGACTACGCACCACAAATCTTCCAATTAATATTTCCTCTTTTTTTAATCAGACGATTCGGAAGACGTAAAACTAGCGCTATTTAAATTCACCTATCAGGCCACTTTTCCCAATATTTTCGTGGACGGGCGATCAGTCGGTGGCAGTGAAGAATTAGCAATCCTACACACTACTGGGAAATTGAAGGAATTATTAATTGATGCGGGTGTATTAGATGAAGAATAACACGTAATATGTTAGACTAGTCTTTATACAAATTTGATCATTCTTAAAAAAAATAATTAATACACTTGTACAAATTTATCCAAAATTTTCTATAGTCTATAGTCTAATTTGAAGAAATAAAATACGGTCAAATCTCCCTATCGATATTCACTGTGCTTGGGTTAGGCAAGGCATGTGGCTATCGCTATAAAAAGTATTATTTCACGTTCTTCTAAACATCATCTAATAATGTGTACATTCACTTTGAGGATCGGTTTGTAAGTAAATAGAAATTAAAACATTCCCTATTAGCCGCTTTGAATTCAGCATATTGACAATTTTCCACAAGTTTTTAATATCCGAGAAATTTGTGCTCTAGAAGTTTTTTTATTTCTGATAATACAAACGCCTCATCTTTGTAGCAAAATATATTTGATGGACGAGAATCCCGTATTTCTCGAGAATATTTGCTGTGGAAGGATTTCGGTGTCGATTGATAACTTTTCGACCGAGATAATACACCGTGAGTAAATTAAGGGTGTAGTGCTTACGCTGGAAAACACTTGTGCGTCCTTTAAGGTTCCTAAAATTCTTATTTCGTTCTGCAATATGTGTGATTCCTGAACAATTTTGATCACTAGTTTAGTATTTTTTTTTTTTTACTATAAAAACTTCTAAAGTAGCTAACAATGTATCATTTGGTATAATCGACACTGAATGGAAGAGTCATGTTCCATAATCTGAATCTTGCTCTCTGTTAATGAAATGGAGAAGGAACAATTAAAGATGAATAAAGATGAATAATAAGGATTCGAATGGTATTTGAAATTTATAATAATCATGCTTTCTATTATGAAAATGGAAAGGGAACAATCAAAGATAAACACTACATGACAATCGGCGAGGAATAGCAGCAGAATTCGTTCGATGCTGTGCGTGCGTGGAATATTTTCAATCCATCTGTCCTTTGTGTGCCTGCTGTAAACAAAATCGAGATCAATGCGCTTATCGCCAAAGACGATATATCAGATGCAAAACCGTTAAGATGACTATCGATCACTTGCATAACGCGCCATTTCCTTCTATTTGTCTCAAAATGGTGCTCGCTAAATAGGTTTTTTCATTCTGTGAACATGGTGGACTAGACCTTCTCGGTATGGTTTTACAGGTAATTGTTCTTCTGGAACATAAACTAACCATCGTTCAGAATTGTTACAAAGTGTTGCCATGCTTTCTACAATCTTTCATTGCCCTTTACCGTTTTATTTTCTCCTGTTCGAATTCGCTCTCGATTATTGAACAACGCCCCCAGTATTGTAAGCTAAAGGTGGCAAATGTTTAAAATCATCAGATGAGTTTATAAGTCTACAAACAGAGCAATTAATAAAAGATAGTTTGCACATTTGTTACGCTCTACTCTAGTCCGACAAAGACTCATCCAACATCCCGCCAATCAAAATTCCGACAATACAACATCCTGATAGTTCATGATCCCGAGACAGTTCAAAAATCCCGACAATACAAACATCCCGACAAGTACATCAAAAATATACGTCGTATCTCCCCTTTTATTTTTTGTATCGAACAAAACACGGTTTATCATTTACATGCACTACATTTAAACTATTGTCGCTTGTCGGGATTTTTAAACTGCTGGGATGTTGTATTGTCGGGGAATTTCTGTGTGTTGCAAGTAGTGTTTCAAGCCGGCAATAAAATGCCGGTGTGAATTTCCTTATTTATTAAAATGGGGGTGGAGCAAATCACGTGAAAAATTCATGATTATGATTGGTCAATGCGGATAAAGTTCTGATTGGTCGAGGAAGATAAATTAGGTGATAAATATCACATAACAGTAAGAGAATTATAAAATATTTATTTTTATTTGGATTTGATTTTAATTATATTTACTATCTCTTTAATTATTATTTTAATTATGTTTTTAATTATTATTTTTATTATATCTTTAGTTATTATCTTTATTATATCTTTGATTATTATGATTTTAATATTAAATCTCATATTAGATAAAAAATAAAATTATTTTTTTAATATAAATGATTTTTTAAAAATTTTAATAAAGAATTTTAATGATAATTAATAGTTAATATTTGAATAAAATGGGATTTATACAAATATATAAATTATAATATTATAAGAATTTTTGATTATATTTATTTTAAGATCTTTATTTTGTGTTATCTGTATTATATTTTATATTTTATATTACTTATTTTAAAAATTATTTTTATTCTAAAGATACAGATGATTATATATTTAATTAATATAGATTAATATATACTATCATACAAATAATTATTATATATTTTTTAATTATTAATTTATATTTAATATTTTTAATTAGTTTTATTATTTATTTATTTCTTATATTTTTTATTTATATTTATTATATTTATATTTATTATTAATTTTTTGAAATTAATTATATTTAATATATATATATTTTATATTATTAATTTATTTATATTTTATATTTATTTCTTTTTTATAATTATTTATTATTTATATTAATTATATTTATTTTTAATTTTTTGAAAATACAAATTAAGTTAATTATTTATATTTAATATATATATATTTTATATTATTAATTTATTTATATTTATTTCTTTTTTATAATTATTTATTATTTATATTAATTATATTTATTTTTAATTTTTTGAAAATATAAATTAAGTTAATTATTTATATTTAATATATATATATTTTATATTATTAATTTATTTATATTTATTTCTTTTTTATATCTGTTTTGTAAGTTTATTTTAGATCTGATACTATTTAAATAATAAAATTATAAGTATTTATAAATTAAAATTATTTATTTTATATTTTATCTTATTTATAGTTATAAATAAATAATCTTAAAAAATTTTTATTTGTTACTTTATAAAATATCAAAAATCAAATACTTAATAAAAGAAAAATATTTCAATAAAAAAATATTATATAATAAGAACATAACTATCTGATCTATATATTATACAAATCAAATTACTTGAATAATTTTTTAAAAATTTATAATAATAAAATTAGATCTTGATATATATATATATATATATATATGGATTTATCTTTTAATATTTATTATTTTTTTATATATTAAGTTCATGAATCTATAGAAATTTATCTTATTGAAATTTGAATTTAAAAGTTAATATTTTGAAATCTGTTTCTTGTTTAATAAATAGAAATATCTTATTAAAAATTATTATATCTTCTAACAGTTAATTAAAGATATTATATTTGTATATTTAATTAAAGAAACTTAAATATTATGAATGATTGATGCTTATAGATTTAATATATAAAATAAACCAGTATAATACATCTATAATACTTACAACTACTGAAATATGAATGCTCACTTTTTTGTGAGTAATGAGAATAGAGATATAATTGCAAAAGTATTAATAATAATTTATAATACTGATTCTCTCATTATATATTTTTGAATTATAGTAGCATTAAAGCCATAAGTATTAAAAAGAACTTTCCTAGTATAATTAATAATAAGCAAGAATGTCAAAGAATTCTTTGTGTTATCTATATTATGAGAATGTGACTACAAAGAATTTATGAAAAAAATTTGGAATGTCATGATTATAGTGATATATAAAAGAATATGGATTGGTTGTGAAAGTCTTGTTTAGATATTATCAATCATTATTTTGTTTCTGCTATATAAACTTATTAAAAAGAACTATGTGAAAAATATATTGTAATGGAATTTATAGGCCCATCAATATTCTCCTCTATTCTTACAAGTCATAATTATGAATCTATTGGAATACTTTTATAATAAATTAAAGAGAAAAATATCTTTATTACATAATTAATTGGTATGAGATTTTTTTTATTTATTTATACCCACCTATCCATCTCATTTTACATCTAAATTTTTTTTAGGTGTCATTCATGATATTATTGACGTTGATTATAAAAAAAAGATTTCTATACAGTTTTTCAACATGGAAACGGCATAAAATTATATAATGGCAAATTCGTGCTATTTTTGCGAAATTTCCGTATCAAAAAACCGTGCCCGATACATGTTTATGCACACGGAAATTTGTCAAGTTTTTTGTGTATATCGGCTATACCTTGAAATTCTATGGATTTTATGTGCTTGCGTTTTTTATAGCTATCACCTCAATGTTTCTTTCAATGATTCGTAAAAGATTTCCATGTAATAGCAAGACTTAACATAAAACATCAGTGTTATACATTTACACAAAAAATTTATTGCTATAAATCAATTCTTTATTTAAACATAAAAGAATGAAGAAAATAAAAATATTGTATAATGAAATAAAATAAGCAATCTAAATTAGATTTTTGCAAACAGAGCTACAACTTGTTTAAAGATGTCTGAGAATATTACTTGAAGTTACTACGAAATTTCTAACGGACTATTACCACTATTGTCTTAATTCAATAAAAATGAAATCTTTCCCCGTTTATTTGATTTTTCCGACACGTTATCATTATGACGTTTTTTGTTCGCTTCATGAATTTTGAAGATTAATTTTTCTTAAGAATTAATAAAATTTAATAACGTTGAAACATATCGTGGTTAAAGAAAAAAACTTACATTGTATTTGATCTGAGATTAAATTTGAACTTTCGGCTATGAATTTTTTTCTTTTACCATTTTCAATATCAGATGAGAGATATACTAACAATAAAATAAAATTTATAAACTAATGATCATTATTGCGTGATTGCGTAACATAACTAATAATTTTACCTTCATTAACTTTGTTTGGAACATATAAATTGACATTATTTGATTCGGCATCAATATCAATATTATATTCTGTACTCACACATTGATATGCTAGAATTGTATAATACAATTATGTTTAATATAGTGGTTATTAATAATACCGATATTATACAGTTTTTACCTTCAGTTACTTCATTTGGAACATACAAATTGAGACTTATAGAGCCTAAATATTGGAAATAAATTATAAATTAATATGACAATATCGTAAGATTATTTAAAATAAAATGTACCTGTGTCATTTGAAACTGAAATTAATTTTGAAGTAAAGCTTCGACTGGTGTAAATTGCGTTTTGGTGGATTTTTTGTTTTTTGTTTATCTTCGTAGGAATACTTTTTTGCATTTTTATCTCCTCATCAAGTCTATTCAATCTCTGCTTTTCTAATTTAAGACACTTAATAATTTCTTCTTCTAATTTAGGATATTTTAAAGAGCTGTAGTACTGGAAATGCAAAGTATTCAGTTTCCGCCACCACCACCATAAATTCTGTGTTCCTTCTGGATTTTTAATAGTTTTGATAAACGCTATAAGTTCCTCGGCAGTTGGTCTATTTTCTGGAATAGGATCCCAACATTTTTCAATAATAAATTTGCACCATCCAGGAACATTATTTGCTATCGTAGGTCGTACTCCTTTAATGATGATGTCTAATATGAGACCGGTATCATGACTCCGTTCACCGAATGGTCGTTCACCTGTTACGATTTCGTACATAACCATTCCAAAACTGTAAATATCTGCAGCTTTAGTGTATGGTTTTCCATTTAGCACCTCTGGGCTCATATAAGGAAGTACTCCGTAAATTTCTTGATTAGATTTTTTAATATCTGCTGGGCCGGTAAGCCCAAAATCAGCAATATTTGCACTATTTATTCTAATAGCACCAAAGCCTTTATCGTTATTGCGATATTTTAATATATTTCCAGGGTGAAGGTCACGATGCACAAATCCTTTAAAGTGAATGCTATGCAGATCAGAGAGAATTTCAGCTAAATCCACTAATTTTTTTTCCCAATTGAAATTTTGGTAGGAATTAATATATTTGCGAAGATCGCCATGCATCGCATATTGCATTACTATCGAGTATTCATTTGTAGTTGGGCTTTTAGTTATTCCATAATATCTAACTGCTTTGCCGCATTTTAGAGGAGTTTTAATCTATTTTTGAAAATATTTGTTTTATTAGAAACAAAAATAATAGTTTGCTTGCACTTTAGAAAATGTTTACCTCGTTTATAAATTCTGATGTAATTTGTTGTGAATTGTGTAATGATTTCAACACAATTTGACGTTTATATTTGTCATTTCGTGTAAATTTATTTTCCTCATGATCCCATTCGTATGCATACCACCAGGTTGCTTTATAAATGGTTCCAAATCCTCCTTTTGCAAGAGCTTCAATGTTTGTGAATCTTTCAAATGGGATCCATTCAAATTTAACAAATATATGGAGTTTCGCGCATTCATTTATCAGAGTATCGATTTCTTTGTTTTCGCTAGACCATTGTGCTTTATAAAGTCGTTTGTGATAATCATAACATTTTTTGCAGTGCTGTTTTGCTTGGCAGCTAGCACAACTGTCACAATTATGAGTTATCGACATCCTAAGTACTTATAAAAAATCAATATTATGTTTAGTATGCGTTTATTGAAAATTTGAAATGATTCTATAAAAAATCATTTAAGTCATGGACTTTTATTTATATGTGGTAGTCAGTTTCCGGTTTATCTTAAAAGAAAAACTTGTGGAAATTTCAGTGAAGAATTTACATACATGTACATACATGTATTGTACAGAATATTTCATGCATGTACATGCATGAAATATGTTAAATAATAGAAATTTTCTATAGAACATCGTATTCTTTGTCTTATGTTGAAGAACATCAAAGAATAGAAATGTTCTATAGAACATCGTACTTATAGAGTTTCAGGAATTTCGAATAATTAAAAAGATTTCTAATCCATAATAGACAATGATTTGCTGTCACTAAAAGATCAATCTATAGTAATTATTTATCGTTATGTTGTCGCGCGTTTATGACGTTTGTTTTTTATCAGTTGATGTCTTTTGCATACATAAAATATATTCTTTATCAAAAATTTAAATATTGTAATATCGAATAATCGATATACAATAAGATCGATGCCTTTTGACTACACAAATAACTTCAACTTCAACTATAAAGTTTCGATAAACATATAAATGCAAAAGTTTATGTATCATTCATTGTGTTATCGGACCGTATACCGCTCAAGAAGACTGTCATGCGATAATGGTTTCTCGAATCTTCACAAAAATAAATTAAGTACACAATTACAATCGTAAATTCAAACCGTTAGCTGCGATTTTCGATTATGTGCGCACAATTAGGATTTTTGATTAATGAAATTAACTTCTCGCAAATACACGATTTTTTCGGATTGAAAGATAGCAATCCGAACCGGGAACGAAGTTTCAAATTCGGTTCAGGTCACGGACTGATCCAAACCAAACAGCGCTTTACCAGCAGTTAATTTGGGTCACCCAAAATCCCGAACGCCAAAATCCTGACATCCAAAATTCTGATGTCCAAAATCCCAAAATGCCAACATCCCAAAATGCCAACATCCCAAAATGCCAACATCCCAAAAGCCAAAATCCTAAATGCCAACATATCCAATACCTTAAAATTTCACATATCCAAAAAAAAAGTGAGAGTAGATTAGTACAGATATTTCGCATGTTTATTTTTTGTAAGTCAGGATTTTGCACATTCGGGATGTTAAACTTTCGGGGTATTGACTATCCGTGATTTTGGTATTCAGGATGTTGGGCATTCGGGACGTTGTGCGTTCGGGAGGTTGGGCATTCGGATTTTGGGGTAGAACCAGTTAATTTATATAGCTGGCGACACATTTTTGCAGAGGTGTTTTTATAAAATTTAACCAACATTGAACTGTTTGCATTAACAAAATTTGTGTCAGATTCGATAAAACTTGTATCAGATTGAATAATAGCGGCTGAGATTGACTTATTGATTTATCTGGCTCAGTCTTTCAAAATGAACAAACTTCGTCCATTGCGAAATGAAAAATAAGTGTGATATTTGGGTAATTTATTAAAATTGACAGAAAATTTAAATTAGACAAAGAACACACCACCAAAACGGGAGAAAAATTGACGCGATCATTATAGTTTTCAGGATATCAACAAATAAAGTTTTAATTAATCCTAATATAATCATATTTTATTATGATGATCTCGATTTGAACCGGTTCATTCGGTTTGATCTGTCTGAAACCGGCCAATTCAAATCGAGCCGATACATCTCTATTAAACGTCAACGATTTTGATGTACTGTACATGTATCTCGTTTGTTTCATGTCAATCATTTCACCCACTGAAGGTCCTCATTGTAATAAATGTTACTATTGTCTGAAATAATGAATACTGCGATGAGTGTTTAGTTCACAATACTCATGATTGTAGTAAATGTCCCTGTTGTCAAAATAATCATTTCTGCGGTGACTGTTTCAAATATCACAAACGAATTTATAACGATGAATTGTCTAGTGGAGATAAAGATATCGAGAAGAATACAACAAAATTAATTATAAACATAAAAAAATATTCGAATAGATTCCTTTTTGAAAGATTTACCAACGTTGAATATCTTGCAAAAGGGGGCTTTGGGTTAATTTATAAAGCAACCTCGTTGCATGATGGCATCTGGGATCATGAAGGAAATAAATTTAAAAGAAGAAGAGAAAGAAAAGTTGTTTGTGCTGAAATCATTGCACAGTTCAAAGCAAATTATCCCAGAGTTTATAAAAGAGGTAAAATGAACATTTTTCTAAAGCGAAATTGCTTTTTATCTGTTGATATAAACAAAGTTTTTTAAAAATAGGTTCAGATTGCTCTTAAATGTAAAAGCGACATTCAATTAAGTATTGATTATTATGGAATAACTAAAAACCCAGTTAAAAATGAACATTCGATAGTAATGACTTATGCAAAAGATGGTGATCTCCGTAAATATATTAATTCAACTACGAAAAATTAACTTGGCATCAAAAATTAAAATATTTATATTATATTCTCATTAGTCTAACAAAAAAATTTGTACATCCTGGGAATATATTACTAAACTATAGTAGTTCTATTGCTGATTTTGGGCGTAGCATTCCAACAGATATAGAAAAATCTAACCAAGAAATTTGTGGAGTACTTCCTTATGTGAGTCCAGAGATACTAAGTGGAAAGCCATACACTAACGCTGCAGATATTTATAATTTTGGAATGGTTGCGTACGAAATTGTAACTGGTGAACGACCGTTTGGTGATATACATCTCGTATTAGGTATCTATAAAGGAGTACGATGGTGCAGTTGAAAAATGTTGGGATCCTGTTCCAGAAAACAGACCACCTTCTGAGGAACTTTCACACTTTATCTACTCTATCATATCTGACCATTATTTGGAATTGAATTCTTTGCATTTTCAGTACTATGGCTCTTTAGATTATCCCTAAAACAGAAATTATAGAGAGTGTTAAACTTGTTAAACTAGAAAAGCAACAATTTGATAAAATTAAATATTCAACAAAGCATTTCTACGAATAAAAACAAAAAACAACAAATCCACTCAAATGCAATTTACACCAGTCGAATCTTTACTTCGAAATTAATATCAATTCTAACTGACTGCTACAGGTACGTACATTTATTATATATATATAAACGACATTTCAGATTGGTTTAAATATATCAAATGTTTAGGTGCTACGAGTGTTAATTTGTATGTTCCAAATGAAGGTATTATCTTTAAAAAATGCAATATTAATATCAACATTAATATACTAAAAGTGCTTTTTAATAAAATGCTAGCATATGTGACTACCGAATATGATATTGATATCAATGCCAAATCAACAAAAAGCCGCATATATGCACCTAACGAAGTAAATGAAGGTAAACTTTATTAAATATATATCACAGTAATGCTTATTTGTTTTATTTACAATGTCAGCATTTGTTTACGAGCGCTTGATAATGTTACTGGTATTATGAATGGATAAAACACCGCAAACTCACATTTAAACTCAAAAAATCATAACGCATTTTTTCATTAACATCGTATATTATAATTAATAAATGACTAGGCTTCAAAGATAAACCGAACAACAAGCGTCCTAACGAAAACGTGTTGAAGGTATCCATCAAATAAGCGGGAAAAGTTTTCGTGAATTAAAGCGTTATCAATCAAGATGGAAAGAATGCTATTCAAGGTAAAAATAATTTTATTTGGAAATACCGATACGTTAGGATATTCGTGTTAAATGACTTCAAAGGATCCATCAATATGCATAGAATTGATTCCTCTCATAGTTCGACAACTCGATATCATAAGGTACTCGAGATCAAAATAATGTCAAATCGATTATTGAATACATTTTATTTAAAATAAAAACAACTAGAGATTTAATCTAGCCTAACAAAGGAGCACTTTCATTGTTTCTCCTGTATCCGGTTCCAGTGAACTTTTGAATCAAAGGATTCGCGGAATATGCAATCGCAAAAATGGCAAACACTTTAGCCGATACATGAATCAACTCATCCTCACGTTGTCCCTGTGAAATACCGAAAAACGCCCACCCGATAACAAGACCACCCAACGCATCTCCATTTCCATATAAAATGTATACGCCCACAGCACCCTCCAACACCACAAATGCCACAAATACCAAAAGATAAAGCATCAGACCAGTTTGTCTTCCCCCCTCATCTGGGTGTTTTTCGTTATCTTCTGGAATAAATGCAGCGAAGGAAGTAACCACCAAAATTACCACAGTCCATGCATGATATATCGTCAATGGTGCGTGAATAAAAACCTTGTCCAATAATGTGTTTGCGGGAAATTCGTTTCGTATGCGTAAGTAGACGTATGAGATTTGTGAGAGAAGCATCACGGTAATGAGCCAGGAAATTCTGAGATCATCTTTGACCCAAAATTGCACTGCGAGCATATTTAGAATACCGAATGCGAGAAAATGCCATTTGATCCCATTGACAACTACGTCATTTGCATCGGGGAAAAATTGGTAAATTATAAAACCAAAAAAGAGAAACCTGATTAGATGCCAAATATAAAACGAGAATGGTGCAGGAGTGATTATTGTTGGATGATTTCCGAGTGTTGGATCGTCGTGATACGGAAGCTATATTATTATTAATCGATATTTTGTGAGATGACACTGTTTTAATATAATATTATCACGTAACCTTTTTTTTTTACCTTTCCAAACTTAAAAGTCGAATACAAATAACCCCCAAACAAAGTCAGAAACAAAATCGCATTGGCGACTTTAATTGCAAGTCCGTAATTTGACATTATTTTTTAATAATAACAAAATACATGTATATGTCAAGCTGAGTACATGCACATGTATTTTATAAGTTGCATTTGATTATCTACAATTTGATGCATGCGCTTATCGTTATTAGATCATCGGTACCATTGGTCACATACGTATAACATGTACTTTGTTATACAAGTTGATTTAGGACTAGCATGTAAATTCCCCCCAATAACAAGCATATACGTACATACATGTTCATTCGGATTTGTGGCTTTGCAAATGTGTAGATATCGATATATCGGATTGGTATAGTTTATGGGAAAGTTTATTAATCAAAAATGTGCAGGACATTAATACGCGAATCAAAATTTAAAATAAAATAAAGTTGGCATTTAAAACGGATTTCTACCTTTTCCTAGTAAAATGTCAGTTTTGGAGAGTTCTTAGATGCCCAGAATGCGAAATAGATTGGATTAGTGGCTTCCTCTTAGTTGTTTGACATATTTTTATCTCATAAAAGGGGACATCACTTAGTTTCGCTAAAGCCGGGATATTACGGTCAGTTATTGAAAAAGAGGAAACTAAATTATTTTTTTTAACATTAAGGTTTTATTTTGAAGTTACACTGAGAAATAAACCGCCATTAAAGTTTGCTGGGGACGGTCATGTTTTTTCTATGTGCGTCTTTTTGTACCACATTCGATTCTCGTTATGCATCTACAGTATATGAGAACTGTATCCACAAGAATTCGAAACTTGCATAAACATGATTCTTAGAAGCAATGCTATGCTATTCAGATCACACTAGTTTCTTACCACTTTACGTTAAAAGGAATACACAAACTTTATTAACAATATAATCGTTTTTACGTGCTTTAAAAAACCTGATGCGGAAATCTAAATGCTAAAATTTGGCACGGTACCTGTCTGCTTGGTACCGTCAAAGCAAATACGTGTACGAAGCAGTGACGATTAGATTATATTTTTCGTGTATATGCATAATTTATACGCCCATTCTTTAAACAATAGTGCTTTTATTTTGAATATTTTATATGTATGAATACATATAGTTCGTCAGGTCTGGTTTTCCTCGGCAACCTCTTTATTTTTACGTGAGTTCCACCATGAAAAAAAATAATATAAAAATATAATCAACAACCACGAAACGATGATATAAATGTAGACCAATGACGCGAGAATGTTGAATGGTGGAGGTGCAAATGCTAAAATTTCAGAAAAATAAATATATTTTTCATTATTCAGAATACAAAAAAATATTTAATAGTCAAATTCCTACCCAAACTGAGTAATTCGAATATGCAACCCTTAAATTAAATAAAATTAGTAGATCATTTATCCAGAAGATGGAGAAAATTAAATCATTAACACTTACAATCATATCCATACAAGTGAAAATAAAAGAAATACCACGAACTATTTTGTCACGAAATATTACATAATATTGTGGTAAAAAACCGATAAATATGAGCACCAATGAAAGAGTTCCTAAAGTATTTTCAGGCCATGAAATATTTTTTTCATGTGTTCTCTAGCACAAAAATAGATGTTTCATAAAAACTGTTATTGTAAAATAAAAAGATTGAATCAATTTTTCGATGATTAATTTATTATACCTTAATCCATAATGCACCGACCGTTTGAACTGTTGTGAAGAATACTATCCAAAAGGAAAATATACTAAGGCATTTAATCTGATGGTTACGTAATTTTAGCTTCCTTTCATAATCCGATATTGGTGTAGTTACTGTCAAAGTTGGCTTTTTCTCACTCTGCTCAAAGTGATCGTTATTTTCATCTTTGTCTCTTTTTTCTTCAATATGGATCTCCTCTTTTTTATTTTCTTTTTGATGATATTTATTACTATTATAATAAAGACATTGCACGTGACACACCAAACTTAGTAAACCAAACGATTGAGGTTGTAGTATTATTGGGATTGGAAGAGAAACTCCGATAGTGTAAATCCCAAATATAAATGAAGAGGTTGCCTAATAAAAAATCGTTATTAGCATTGATTTAAAAAAAATAATATTGTGATTGTTATTATTTCCAAAAAATATCGTGATACATGGATATGCTTACAAATATCAGTAACATTGTCGCGGAAAGCCCTTTTGAACCGATAATATCGGATAGGTTAATGTTAATGATTCGAACGAACAAATAAATATTCTTGTTACTCAATTACCTTTTGTGCTTTTCCCTTTCCAATTTTTATAGACTTAAGGAAAAGTAATACGACGTATGATTTATTCGATTTGTTATAAACAAAAAACGAATCAAGTTAAAAATACCTTGAGGTAGTAATTGAATAGAGAGCAAGAATGTTCCTAGATATCCAAACAAATTTTCAAGTATCGGATTTTCATGACTTGACGATGATAAACTATTATTAGTACTATTGGTATCAGTTACATTCATTTTGCAATAATTGAATTTCTTTATTATTTACTTTAGAGAGAAAAAGTTTTTGGAAGGATTTAAAATTCGACATTTTTATGCGTTTTGCCTTTTGCATCAATCAAGTTTGCTTGTTACATAAGTAAAATGAACATAATTCGAAAAACTAATGGAATTGTATTCTTCTCAGGCGTAACTTTATTCTTTCGCGTGACCTTTATTGATACTGTACACAACCTAGATTAATACTAAATAGCCCAATCCTAATGAAAAAGAGTATACATGTATTACGCACACATCATCTTATGGTTTAAAATAAAATTTTTTATATGCGATATGGGTCTAATTAAGAAAAACCATTTAGCAGAATTCCCACACTTAATTCAGTAATCGACAAAAATTTTGATTTATCGTTATGGCAATTTGCCGTATCAACCATCCCACTTAAAAAGACCTGGGTCTATAATATGTATGAGACCCGAGCCCATACTTAAAAATAAAACCACCAATTAAAAGAGGATATTATATCACCTCTTTCATTGTTCACCCTCAGGATTATTTTAATGATACGGCTAAAGATTTCCATGTAATAGCGAGACTTAATAATCATTTTATAATATAAGTTTTATGCAAAAGAAAAATTTGTTAATATAGAAATGAAGAAAATAAAACATGGAATAATATAAATACACACACATCTATTAGATTTTTGCAAACAAAACAAATTACAAACATATCTACGAAATATTATCTGAAATTGTTGTTAAATTTATAACGGACTATGTTCATATATCACTATTTTCACTATTATCATAATTCAAACAAATGATTCTTTCCCATTTATTTGATTTTTTAGACATCGTTTTCATTAGACGTTTTTTGTTCGTTTCAAGTCTAATTTTGTTAAAATTTATAACATTTAATTAACGTTGATAAATCGATGCTGTTATTAATGAAAAAAGAACTTACGTTGTATTTGATCTGAGATTAAATTTGAACTTTCGGATATGAACTTTTTTCTTTTACCATTCACAATATCAGGTGACATTAAAAACTAATAATCATTGTTGCGTGTCATAGCGATAATAAATTTTGCTTTCATTAATTCGTGATTCTAGGAATTTATTAAAATAATGACTTGCATTATTATTTGTGCAATACACTAAGTCCCATTTTAACGTTCAATAGCTCTTGAATCGTAAACTTTAAAAAAATATGTTAAACCCAACAGACACTCGCAGAAAGTGCAAACTTACGGATTTTTGAGCGTGGCGAGTTAGTCGGTTCTTGGAAGTGTGGTTTTTCCGAAGATAAAACCAAATCCATATCGATAGCTCATAACGTCATACAAAAATATAAAGAGTTTGGCCGAACCACAGGTGCTATCCGACACGAATATTAATACTAGAGCCACTCGAAGAGTAATTAAAATTATTATAAAAGAAAACCGGCAATGAGCAATTGACGAAATTACCGAAAAATTCAACGAAATTTCGGTTAGTTCTAAAACCATACGTCATAATCTTCATGAAAGTTTTTGGTCTGGCTGGTCTAAGAAAATCTTTATATTCAAGGAAAACTGTCAAAAATGGTGTCTAGAGCAAAAAGATTGGGTTCTTGAATGGGAATTAGTAATTTGGAGTGATGAATCAAGATATTTAATATTCAGAAATGATTCATAGCAATGGGTTTATCATCGACCCCATGAAAAATGTTGTGTTTCTTCCTAGTATGAAATCGGATAATCGGTGAGTAATGGTATGGGGATGTTTTCAAAATGCACTCGGGCCACTAATCGAAGTTGAAGATGCAATAACCGGTCAAAAATTTGTAGAAATACTTGAAACCATTTTTGATGCAAACTAGTATTTTCAAGATGATAATGCACCGGCTCACAGAAGTCATCCGGTTAATGAAGGGAAAGAGAAATCTAATAACTTCACTTCCATGGCCTGTTCAGAGTCCTAATCTAAATGCAATTGGATGTTTTGGAAAGATGAATTCTTGCACGAGCCAAAAATCCAGAAAAATTGATGGATGCACTCGCAGAGAATGGGATGAAATCGAACCGGAAATTTTAAAAAATTTGATTGAAAGTATGCCAAGGAGAGTGCAAGCTGTAATTGATGCAAATGGGTTAAAATATATGTATGAATAGTCCTACTTTTGCTGAATAAAATGATATACATAGTTTTTTTGTTGCACATGTAGTTTATTTAAAGAGAAGTCAAGTAATATAAATTAAAGGTCCAAACTTTTATCCACATCAAAATAAATGGGTTTGATACATGTACAGTTCTCACCATAAATTCTGTGAAACTTTATTCATTCGGATTGCGGCTTTGCAGATATATATGTCCTTTTATGCCAATTATTTTAATAATTTGATTTTAATCCCTTGAATTTCAAATTTTCAAATTCATCCATATATGAATACGAAATGCATGTTTAATCATAATAGGAAAAAGCTTTATTTATTAAAAAAAATCAACCTTGATCTCTTAAGTAAAAAATGTGCAGCATCTGAATAAGGCAAATTCTAGCAAAAACTAATTATTCTTTAAAAGAAATTGAGGAAGTCTATTTTACTAGTCTGCCAGGTAGTCAAGTACTTTTTTGGTTGTAGCACCTGTTTTACTATTAGCAGCTGATTTTGCTGGTGGTGTTGCGGTTGATTTAACTTCATCGGCTGCTATTCTGAAATTTTTATGCGAATCAAATTTAACATAAATAAAGATCTTTTCCTAGTAAAATGACAGTTTGGAGAGTTTCTTAGATGTTGACATATTTGTCCCCATAAAGAAAGGGACATCTTAGTTTCGTCAAAGCCGGGAATTACGGACACCATACTTCCAAACCTCACTGACGGTGATTCGTTGGTTAGCAAGAGCTATTTTTTCATTTTATGATGGAAAAAAAGAGAAACTAAATTTTTAGCTTTTAGGTTTTTTTTTAAGTTATACCAAGAAATAACCTCCATTAAAGTTTGATAGTACAAGTTGGGGACAGTCTTGTTTTTTTTATGTACGTTTGTACCACTTTCTATTCTCGTTATACATTTATATGAGAGAACTGTATCTACAAGAGTTCAATACTAGCATAAGCATGTAAGCATGATTCTTAGAAGCAATGCTATTCAAAAAAAGAGAAAACTCTGGCTATTCAGACCCACACTTAGTTTCTTGCCACTTTACATTATAACGTAATTACATATATTTGTGTTAAATCGTTTGTACATGCACTAAAAAACCTGATTCAGAAATATAAATGTTAAAATTTAGTACGGTACTTGCCTGGTACCGTCAAAGTAAATACGTGTATAAAGCAATGAAAGATATTACAAACTAGATGAAGAAGATATGCAGTCTGTGTCGTCCATTGATGACAGAGATTAGAGTTATATTTTTCGTGTACATGCATGATCTTTACGTTCATTCTTTAATCAATAATATTTTTATTTCGAATATTTTTATATGAATGAATACATAAGTTCGTCAGGTCTGTTTTTCCTCGGCAGACCCTTTATTTTTGCGTGAGTTCCACCATGTAAAAAAATAATATAACAATATAATTGACAGCCACGTAACGAAGATATAAGCGTAGGCCACTGTCGCGAGAATGTTGAATGGTGGCGGTGCAAATACTGAAATTTCAGAAAAATAAGTATATTTTTTATTATTAAGAATACAAATAAATATTGAATATATAAATTCTTACCTAAACTGAGTATTGCGAATATGCAACCCTTATACAAGTATTAAATAAATCAGTATATCATTTATTCAGAGAATAAGAAAATCGTATAAATGAAACAATTAACACTTACTATCATAGACAAACTAGTGAAAACAAAAGAAATACCACGAACTATTTTGTCACGAAATATTTCATAATATTGTGGTAAAAAACTGATAAAGTTGATCACCAATGAAATAGTCGCGAAAGTATTTTCAGGCCATTTAATATTTCTTTCATGTGTTTTCTAGCACAAAAATAGATGCTTCATAAAATTGTTATTGTAAAAAGAAGACTGAAATCAATTCGACAATTAATTTATTATACCTTTATCCATAATGCACCACCCGTTTGAGCTGCTGCGAAGAATATTACCCAAAAGGAAAATATACTAAGGCATTTAATCTGATGGTTACGTAGTTTTAGCTTCCTTTCATTATCCGATATTGGTGTAGTTACTGTCAAAGTCTCATTCTGCGAAAAGTGATCGTTATTTTCTACTTTATCTCTTCCAACTATTTTTTCTTCTTTATCTTCTTTTTGATATTTATTACTATTATAATAAAGACATTGCACGTGGCACACCAAACTTAGTAAACCAAACAATTGAGCTTGTAGTATTATTGGGATTGGAAGAGAAACTCCGATAGTGTAAATCCCAAATATAGCTGATGAGGTTGCCTAATAAAAAATGTTATTGGCATTGTTTTAAAAAAATAATATTGTGATTGTTGTTATCGTCAAAAAATATCGCGATACATGGAGATGCTTACAAATATCAGTAACATTGTTGCTGAAAGCCCTTTTGAATCGATAATGTCAAATAGGTTAACATTAATAAAATGATAAACTTTTTGTTAATTCAATCGAACAAATATTTTTGTTTACACAATTACCTTTTGTGCTTTTGTCTTTCCAGTTTTTATAGACTTAAAGAAAGTGATACGATGCCTGAATTATTCGATTTGCCAAATTTACTATAATCAAAAAATCAAGTTAAAGGTACCTTGAGGTAGTAATTGAACAGAGAGCAATATTGTTGACAGATATCCAAATAAATTTGTAAGGATCGGATTCTCATGGCTTGACGATGATAAACTATTATTAGTACTGGTATCAGTTACATTCATTTTGAAATAATTGAATTTCTTTATTATTTTACTTTAGAAAGAGGAAAGTTTTTGGGAGAATTCAAAATTCGCTTTTTTTATATACGTATATGCGTTTTACCTTTTGCTATACAATCATGTTTGCCTGCTATTATGTAATACGAACATAATTCGAAAAACTCTAATGGAATTGTAATTCTATTGTATTCATTATCATGATTTTCACGCGTATTTGCAAGCTTTATTGATATTGTAACAATTAAATTTTGACTTTAGTCAAATTTAGTTTATATTGGTTCGTGTTATTTAGAATTACGCACACATTTGCATCGTCTTATGGTATAAAATTAAAATTTTTTGATGATCTAAGTTAACAAATACGAGTCTAATTAAGAAAACCCATTTTGGCAAAAATTTCCCATTTTGGCGAAAATTTCCGTTATCAAGTACGAGCCTAATTAAGAAAAACCCCATTTTGGCGTTAATTGATAAGTGATCGACAAAAATTTTAATTAATGGCAAAATTTAACAACAACTATAGAATAACGGATCTTCATTTAAAAACGAATTCGAGAAGCTGGATTTCGGGATGTTGGATTGTCTGAGGTTGGATTGTCGGGATGTCAGATTGTCGGGCGATTGGAATTTCGGAAAGATGAGATACAGTGGCTCATGAAAGAAATGGAACACGGGAAAAAAATTGGCGAGATACGAATATCTCGCCATTGAAGAATTGTACGGAGT